TCTGAAAAAAGTCTGCAAGAAATTCTTACATAGCGAGAATTATTTTCATTTCTTCCGATTTTCTTCCGAAATTTCGTAAAAGAATGGAAGTGTGCGTAATTTATTTCATTTTAGAAAATTCGGCAAAAAATCGGATGGGATCTTTCCGAATTCTTTAAAAATTCTTTACGATTCAGAATACTCTGAAAAAATGGTTTGCAGGGTAAATATGCTTATTTGACAATTTGTTTGAATGTATTGGTTGATATTTTTTCTCAGTTGTCGTTTTCGTTAACAGTCACATAAAATGTAATAACGAGAAAAACAAAATTCTAAGCAAATCAAGCGTGTAGCGTAAGTGATTATGACCGGATGCAGTTCCTACATAAGTCATACCGTGTTCCGAACACAACTTTCAGTGAATAATGTTGGGCTGACTTTGGAAAATTTAGGAGGTAGAACAAGTACTTACTTAGCTTAAAGGTAGAACTCTCTCATTTTCAAATAAACCACTCTTATAGTAGACACCTTAATAGCTTTAATGAAATATGTACACAAAATTATATCTCCACGTTCGAACAAATGAACGAAATTTTTATGTATTTGTCCAGCCGCTTATTCTCATTTGCAAGGAGATAATGCATAAGTTAATGCAAATAAAGACGGTTTATGCAGATAAGCGAGCCAGTTTGTCAACCGTATAAAATGTATGTACATAAATACACATATGCATACATACATATTTATCAAAATTTTTTTTTTTTGCAATACCTAGTGCCTTTTCCTGCCTTTTTCGCTATTTTGTTTTGCCTTTTTTCAATACCTAGTGCCTTTTCCTGCCTTTTTCGCTATTTTATTTGGCCTTTTCCAGCCTATTTCGTTATTTTATTTTGCCTTTTTTATAGGTTTTTAGGTCCTAAAAATCCGTTCCCTGGTTATAATACAAAATCTAATTTACTGTTAGTTTAGACGCCATACTGCTTCTAATAGAGGACAGCCATACACTTTTTAGTGAAAATTAGTACTTGAATTTTCCGTATGTAATATTTATGGTCATAAATCAAAAAAAAATACGAAAAATTTGCGTAATTGATTTATTTCAAAGCATACCTCCCTTACAAACGTAATGTCAAAAATGCCTTAAAATGTCATAAAAAGCACACCAATGAATATATGACTCCGAAATTTTGTCCATATATTTTTAGTAACGTTATGTGTGAGCCGTCAATTATTTGACGTAATCGGTTTATTTGGTTGTATGGGTGGTATATACAAACCTAACCTCATAAACGCCTTCAAAGGGTCGTAAAAATCGGGCTAATGAACATTTCATTCCGAAATTTTGCCTATATGTTAGTAATAATATATAAAATAAAACGGTTTATCCGGTTTTTATTAATTTGAAAATGGGGAACCGGTTTTTTTTAGATTGCCATTTTTTGAATAACTCGGAAACGGGTTTTAGAAAAAAACCGAACAATTGAACACCTTACTAATTACTTGTGGTAGAAGCAAAGCGGGTCTTTCGGAAACCCATATTTCGGACATGTCAAGAGTGCTTGTAGTAAAAGGCACCTGTCTCGCTAAAGAATCTTTATGGTCTTTATTTTGCCGTGGCCCGCTAGCAACGCTACTTCTCATTTTCGTTTTTACTTCGTAGAAAGTTATTCGCGTTTCTTTTCTGATACTTTGCAGGCATTGCCGCTGGTCAAGTACTCGCCACTGGCGCCTCCATCACCTACTACTCCAGTATAATGGCATTGACTTTACGGTTTTTGATAGCCTCCTTTTCGAAGGTGTTACCCTGGAGTTATTGTCGCGAGGAGTGGGGTGATATTTGCCTCAATGAAACGAATTCAGCAGCGAATTCCTCACAAAATATAAGCTTAGTACAAGAGCGGCAAACGAAAATGTCAGCAGCGGAATTGTATTTTCAGTAAGTATAAATTTATAAATATGTAGTACTTATGAAGTACATTTTTTAACAGAAACATTTACTTTGTCGAGCGTAAAAAAAAGATAAGTAAATTTAAAATAATTTTCCGATGTTTTAACCATGATAAAAACATAGCAAGGTATAACCGTTCTCTCAATTTGTCGGCCATGATTTTTTTTTGAAGTTTGCCAACATTTTAAAATCATATAAAAGTGAAAATAAAAAATTGAAATTGTTCGAAATTGTTGTTGCTTGAGATTGAAAATGAAAATGTGTGTGTGAGTTTGTGAGTAAATTTAAAAATTAAATTGTTTGGAAACGTCAAGAATTTTAAAAGTGACTCTCAGCGGTTCTACCTTACTATATTTTTATCATGGTTTTGACTTTATGTATTTACCTTTTCACTTTGTTTTTAAAGAAAAGAAATTTTGCACGAACAAGAAGACATTTTTAGCGGACTTGGTACGCCAAATTGGGAGTTGGTAGGCTGCTTAGCTGTGGCCTGGGTTATAATTGGTGGAGTACTGATAAGAGGTAAGAATCTTAATAGTATAAATATGCTAATCTCTTTAGCACGAGAAATGGAAAACTTAAAAGCAAATTGCATACAGCATTTTTATAATTGTTTTTTAGACTGGAAAACTTTCGAGGCTTTCAATTTTCTAAGGATTTTTCGATTAAGGGAATGCTCCTTAAGTTTCAAAAATATACGAACTCAATTTAGGAATTGGCTAAAAGTCTCGTGAGTTAGAAAATTTAATTGAACTGTCAGAATTTACATTAAATTAAACAGATTAGCAAACTGAAAATGAGAAGAAAAGTAATATTTCAGAAATCGCCATTAAAATAATTTCAAATTGTAGAATATTACACACTTAATAGCATGATAAAAACCATGATACAAAAAAGAAGGTAGTTCCATTTAATGACATTCGTTGTTGTTGCTAACCATTTGACTTTTAATAAAATTATGACATTTCATCAAATTCATGATACCTTATCACTAGAAGAAATATTTTTTTTTTAAAGCAGAAGATTTTATCAGTGCATTCAAAGATGTGGAATATGATGGACTTGAAAATTATGCCGGCTACATAATTTCGAAAATGGGGTTGAGGCCAAGGTTTCAGAACGCATGAAGAAAGTGATCAAAATTATACTTACATATCGTCGTTTAAAGTACAAAACCGCGTATCGTCGTTCTGCAAAACCGCGTAACTGACATTTTTTGCCAAAGATTGGATTTGCTCACACAAGCTCTTGACTCAAGTTTTATCCATTCGTCCTGAAATATACTAGCCAGAAATGCGATTGCTTTATAAAAAAGAGAACAATTTTGAAATATGAGTGTTTTTACTCTCTGGAAAATAATTTATGCAACCTCGTATACGCAGTTTTGCATTTTGTTGATACGCGGTTTTCAAGTTTTCTGTTCAAGCCGACTTCAGGTTTTTCGCATACATTAGAAATTTTAAGATCAAAATTTTTGAAAGCTAATTGTTTGCAAAATCGTATGAGAATTATAAAAGTATATTTGAACCAAAATATAAAAAGGTTTTATTTGGGAAGAACATTCGTTAGAATTAAATTTTTAGATCGCAAGATTGCATTCAAAATAAGAAAACGAAAAAATAAGCATAATGCGCGCGTGGTTTTTATTATAAAATAAAAAGAACAATTACGATGAAGGCTTCTTTAATAGTCTATATTTTATATTTTTTAATGAAAATAGTGCGAGTTACGTAAGTNAGTTGGTGTGAAACAAAATTTGTGATTTATTGTTAGTATGAAAACTAGAATTAACACAATTATCAACTTATTGAGCATGCTCTTTCAAATACAAAAGGGGAAAAGTTCGGTTATTTGTGCAATGGTTTTGGGATGGGGNAAAAAATACCAAGCACTGATAATGGTTTTTGATTTTAAATATTATTACATTGGTATAAATATGGGAAGGAAAATACTCCGATTTATTGTTTTAATATCATCAAAGTGGCAGGCCGAGACTCACAATTTATGAAACTTCCAAACNTTTTTACAAGAAGGTCCATAATTCAAATCGAATTTATTCATAAATTTGTATCTGAAAACTTGAAATTTTTATTTTTAACTAATGTTTAATTGTTTGACAACACGTGTGTTTTAAAATTTTTTGCTTTGGGTTAAGTCTTGTGACACAGCAACCCAAAATTATTGTACAAATAACCGAGCCGTACCCAACAAAATACCTTTTGCTAGTTCAAATTTCGATTCTAAGAACAAAATGTTTGTAAATAAATAAAAAATTAATAATAAAATTTGGAGTATTTTAGATATTGCATACGGTAGCACGAAATGTCACAATCTACTTAATTGTCAGGTTGTTAATATGGCGACGAAAAAGTGACAATGGAACTGCCTTCTTTTTTGTATCATGCTTAATAGCATGATAAAAACATAGCAAGGTATAACCGTTCTCTCAATTTGTCGGCCATGATTTTTTTTTGAAGTTTGCCAACATTTTAAAATCATATAAAAGTGAAAATAAAAAATTGAAATTGTTCGAAATTGTTGTTGCTTGAGATTGAAAATGAAAATGTGTGTGTGAGTTTGTGAGTAAATTTAAAAATTAAATTGTTTGGAAACGTCAAGAATTTTAAAAGTGACTCTCAGCGGTTCTACCTTACTATATTTTTATCATGCTTAATAGAATGATACAATAACTTTTATNATTGTACAAATAACCGAGCCGTACCCAACAAAATACCTTTTGCTAGTTCAAATTTCGATTCTAAGAACAAAATGTTTGTAAATAAATGAAAAATTAATAATAAAATTTGGAGTATTTTAGATATTGCATACGGTAGCACGAAATGTCACAATCTACTTAATTGTCAGGTTGTTAATATGGCGACGAAAAAGTGACAATGGAACTGCCTTCTTTTTTGTATCATGCTTAATAGCATGATAAAAACATAGCAAGNGCTCGCTTGAAATATGTACATGAAGATGTATGGAGGTGCGCACACTACACCAGTTTAATCGCTCCGAGAAATAAGTTGTGTNAAATTTGGAGTATTTTAGATATTGCATACGGTAGCACGAAATGTCACAATCTACTTAATTGTCAGGTTGTTAATATGGCGACGAAAAAGTGACAATGGAACTGCCTTCTTTTTTGTATCATGCTTAATAGCATGATAAAAACATAGCAAGGTATAACCGTTCTCTCAATTTGTCGGCCATGATTTTTTTTTGAAGTTTGCCAACATTTTAAAATCATATAAAAGTGAAAATAAAAAATTGAAATTGTTCGAAATTGTTGTTGCTTGAGATTGAAAATGAAAATGTGTGTGTGAGTTTGTGAGTAAATTTAAAAATTAAATTGTTTGGAAACGTCAAGAATCTTAAAAGTGACTCTCAGCGGTTCTACCTTACTATATTTGTATCATGCTTAATAGCATGGCTTTTGATATTTTGAGAAGAAAACCTGACAAATCTTGCTTTTTACTATTTACATACATACATACAAACATAATAGATTGACGCTTACATTTTTAAGTGTTTGGCCGAGCTTCTCCTCCAATTTGTGGTGTGCGCCTTGATGTTGTTATACAAGTGGAGGCACCTACAGTTTTATGCCGCCTCTGAACGGCAAATGGATTTTATGAGAGGCTTTTTCAAGACAAAAATACAACAAAAAAATTTACTAAGAACTTTTTATTTTTGAGGTAAAATGGAACCTTGGTACGGTCTGTGCTGTCTGGTTTTCCACTTTAAAAAATATTATAAATGAAATTAAATACATGTACATACATATGAGCCGTTCTTTTTTAAGTGGTATAAGTAATTTTATTTGTAAATGTTATTTTTGATATTTGTAATGATATGTTCAATGAAGCACTATTTAAAGCTCAGGAAATCATTTCCAAGATTTACTTTATTGTAAGAAGAAAGAAATTCAACGAATTTGTCATCAAATTTTCAAAATTTTTAATCAGAATTTTTAAAAACTTTTGGGGTACGCAGTTTTTACAAAAATAAACTTTGCTTGCGCGTTACAAGGAAGAAAAAATTCAACACATTTTGCAAAAAAAAATTTCAAAATTCAACGGAAATTGCACTTTATTTACTTTGAAACTTGCACTTTATTATATTGAAATTGAATTGGCTACAAAACTGCATACCCGAAAATTTTGTAAAAAATCTGATTTAAAAATTTTAACATTTGTGGAATTTTTGTGAATTTTATATAATTTGCATATATGTATGTAATACTTCTATATTGGCAGTAAGCTAACTTCTCAATGTGGTAAGCATTCCGAAATCAAAGCGAGACAGTCTAGTACCGTTTTTGTCAATGTATTGTGTACTTGAGTGCCGTTTTTGTATATGTGTTGTGTACATGTTTATTTATAAACGTATGTGTTCCTTTTCTTTCGTACGTGTTTATTGATATATCTGTACTGTAGTGTTTTCGGACGGTACTAGCTCTTACTGCCAATACAGGAGTATTACATATATGATAATTTGTGAGAATTTAATTTATATAATTTATGGTATACAATGAACCTTATTTTCTTAAAAAATTATTGAAAAAGAATTTCCATGAAACGACATTGCGAATATTATATTAGAACAAGGAGTATGCTAACTTCTGACTCCGACTGTATATGGGTGTTTCCAGCGGAAGGTCCACCACGACAAAAAAAAATAAAAGTTTTATATCTAACGTATTTACGGGCCGATTTGTCTGCTTTTTAAAATATATACTGGCTATGTAAGTAGAATCATCTTTGCATAAAATGGTCTTCCTAGGTGGTGCCAAGGTCGAGATATTTCGAAAAACCGTATTTATGGTCCGATTTGGTTCGAATTTGGCGTATGTGGTTGAAACATAATAAATCATAGATTTCTAATAAATTGACCCTGAATTGGCGCTGAAGTCAAAATATAAAGTATATTCTACATAAAATACATGTTTTATTTGCGTTGAAAATTCATTTAAAAGCAATATTAACAAAAATATAACGATGGAAATTTATGTCACGTGACGCCACGTCACGTCACGTTTCACACTTGGGGTTGTAAAAGAGAATTGAAACAATTTGCATTAATTCAAAAAACTCTAAAAACAACTAGAATTGCTCCAAATCATATTAAAATAAGTTTCATGAAAATAGCCATCCACAATTCGCAGAGTTTTGCGATTTTGTAAGAAAAGAAAAAATCAACTTCCATTTTTTGTCACGTAACGACACTCTCTTTAAATGCTTATATTTCAGGACCAAGCAGTTCGATTGATTTCATTTTTCGGTTAAATATAGAGCTAATTATGTGCTATACAATGGCCCAAAAAAGTTAAAGAAAACAAATGGTATTCCTTTTTTGTATCACATTGAAATCGTACGACTGTACGTGCGCCACCATGGGAATGCCCATATACAAACAAACAAAGCAAGTTAAATAAAAGCTTGTAAAATCGTTTATTTTTTTTAACTATTTTAATAATTCGCGTTGATTTACGTTTGCCAATACATATTTTTACATGATATATAAAAAAAAATGGACCACTTTAAAAATGCTCATATGTATGTACATTAGGGTGTTCCTAATTTTCCAACTTTTGCTCACAAAGCAAGACTCACCCTCGATAGGTTCATTTGGACATAGAAATGGGCTCCTCGAAAAATTTTCAAAATCGGGTGGAAAGACGTGCCTCAAGAGTCCTAAAGTTACGAAAAAAATTCTATATAACTTCCAAACCTGACGAGATATGAAATTGGCGTAGCCATAAATGAAAATACTGGATTACAGGCTATTTAAAATTTAATGTATTAGCGCACATATGTAACTTTAGGGCTCTTGGGGCACGTCTGTCAGTTATCGGACCAATTATTTTCATGATCAAACAAACCTATATACGGGGAGTCTTGCTTAGTAGCTTACACAAAAATGGTCTTATTCAAGTTGTAATAGCTATGACCAATAAATTATTTTCCTCAACCCACTTTTAATTGAACACAGGTGTTAAAAGTTCTGGAAAAGCTGCTTATTTTCTTGGTGTATTCCCCTATGTGGTCCTACTGATTTTGCTGTTACGCGCTGTAACGCTACCCGGCGCTATGGATGGTATAATTTACTTTTTCAAACCGCAATGGTCTGAGCTGTTAAATCCGTTGGTAATTGGTGGTTTATTTTATGTGTATTTATTATTATTATTATTTTTCCATTGTATTTTACAAATGAATTTGTAAAATACTACATGGTGCGGGCGACGAGGCCATTATGCACCGGTGTTAGTTTAGGTAATTATGTTTCGTCTAACAAGTTGGGGCTGTATAGCATTCTTTCGATGTGTGTTTATGTTTTATGTTAGTTGGGTTTCATATTCTCCAACATAAAAGTATCCCGTAACTTACCAGTAACCAAATTTCAGAGAGTAAGTCAACATTTGATCTCAGTTAGAGAAACGTTATTAGGAAATTGCTTCGGAAAATAACAAATCAATCAGCAGTTCATAAAACTTGCAACTTCTTGTTAGTTTTGCGTTTTCGTACTTTCTTGCATGTTTCTCTCACTAGAGCAAATATGGTCTTACTCTCAGAAATTTGGTTATTGGCAAATAATTGAATAGTTTTTTACTGGAGAATATGAATATATCGTCCCCTTATGCCAGAAACATGAATGTGTAAAAATTAAAATTTTGGGAAATCAAGTTCGAAAGTTTTTTTTTTAGACTTAACTCTACATTCATGTACGCATGGAATTTTGGGTTTTGGTATAACATAGAACATCCAAAGGTTAATCAAGTCAACCGAATAATTCAAAATAGGTAAGTTTGCACATTCATGCTTCTGGCATAAGGGTGACGCCTCCAAACCATACAATGCTAAGTCTGAGTAAGTCTAATACTGTGTTTACATGGGGCGATTTTACAGGCAACTTTTAGTTGAAAGCAACAATCGCCTAGTGTGAACGGCCTTTCAACTAATCTCTTCCAATGGTATGGTTTGGAGGCATCGATATGTAGTAGCTTATGCAACTGTCCGAGTTTAAGTTACTCATACGTAGTGGCGTCGTTTTATTTAAAATGCTAGAGTCGCAGGGATTTCGATTTTTGATCGGAAAAACGCAACAAAAACTTAAAAAACCTTGTAACTTATGAGATTGCTAGCGGGTTGCCGAAAAGACTTTTATACATACATATGTATATGCAAATATGTATAAGTTGCGATACCGTACGAGTCCGAACTAGTCAGATTTTACTGGAAATCGATCCCGTACTCGGTTCTCTGGTAAATGAGAGGACAAATAAGAGAGTAAAAAAAACATTATCTCTCAATCAGAAATTACCAGGTTTAGACCGAAGAGTATTTGCTGGTAAATACTGGTAAATGTGTCAAAGATCAGCTGTAAAGTGTATTAAGCGACCAAACTGTAAACAAAAGAAAGGTGCACTCTGCCAATGTGTTGAAATATATTTAGTTACTTGTTTGATTGGATTCTAATGAATTTGTAAGTATTTTTAGTTATTTACAAGTGTGAGGGAGTGTATTTACATACAAAATAAGCAAAATTTTACAAGCAAAATTTGGAAGTTATGTTGAAGTTGTCAGATGCTAGCACATTTTACTAGAAAGCGAGCTCGTACTTTTTAGTGGTACTCCCTCGCGCTGAGCGAATTTTTATTTTATTACAGACTAGAATTAATCCGAGGAATACGGGATTAGTCGATTTTTGGATCGATAAAAATAAATATTGAATTGGAAAGTAAGTCTAAAAAATAAATGCACCAATTGAAATCGATTCAGATACATATATATGTACATAAGTATGTACCTCACTTATATAGCACATTACTTTTCTTCAAAAACTGGTAGACATTATAGTAACCTCGTAATTACTCATTAACCGACTTCACCAAAAGGAGAAAGGTTATCAATTTGTCCGAATGTTTATTTTTTATTTATCTTATTTCTATTTTTTTTTATGTATGTTACCGCATAACTTTGGACCACGTTAACCGATTTCTATAATTCTTTTTAGGAAAAGTGTTGCCTCAGAGGTGGTCCCGTATTAATTTGGTTTAACTCCGTTCGTCAGTTCATGAAGAAAGTAACGATAATCTTACATTTTTATATGAGAATTGAAGTCGGTTTTGTTTTTTGCTAAAAAATTACGTTTTTTTTTTTAATTTGAGTAGTCCACTTGCAAAGTGCGCTATGTAAAATTTTTTCGATTTTTAGTTTTTGGTGGATTACGTACCAGTATTTAAAGTAGTTGCATGTCCACTAACAACACAGTGCAAAATCTTTTTACATTCTGAAAAAAATAGCATCAAATGTTAACTCTTCTTCCAAAAGTCGCAATCATACTTATTTATAATCTTTCAAAAGTATGCATCTTCTGATGAACTTAGAAAACTGCTTTAAGTCGTATAGACTGTTAATATTAGCTCTGATCCAATACTTTTCGTGAAAAATCCTGTAAAACTGTCAAACAGCAAAATTACTCTCTGAAGTGAGAGTAAAAAGTGAGTAACAACAAAAAGTACGGGAACAAAAAAAACATTTTTCCTGTAAAAACGTCAACCAGTGATTGCTTGACACTTTTCATGATTTCGGGTAAAATCTTGCAACTTCATTCTCTACACAACTCTCCAAAAGTCGCTCTCATTTACAGGATTTTGGAGTACGGGAACATTTTTCCTGTAACTTCCTGCAAGTTCGTATAAAATCCTGTAAGTTCATGGAGTACTGGATCAGAGCTATTATCTTATGTCATGTTATGTTTTGTTACAATTTTATAAGGCTTTTATTTATCCAAACTCTCAGGTAATAATAAGAAAGATACTTCTTGTCGTAGTCGTTTTTTCAAATTTATGGCATTCTATTATAAAATCACATAACGCTGTTTGCAAGTGGACTACTCATTTGGTCTAGTATCGCGACAATAAGTTGATGCCGCCCTCTGTCAATTCCGCGTCGCCTTTGTGTATTGGCTTCATTTCAAGTTTCCATTTCTATAAAATGAAGGTTCCCGCATACAAGTGAAGATATATGTAAGCCCGTTTTTTGGAGAAAAACAATGTGCCCTTTTCAAGTGAAGCGGGCTATATTTAGGGCATTCTATTTCTTTTTGACCTTCATTATCAGGCCGATTCTGAATAGAAACTCCCCGGGAGTTTTTCTTTTTTCCCTTTCCTCCTATCATGAATAAAAATTCGCTGAGGTTTTTTATATTAAATGGCGTAGTTGAGCTGTCCAAAAGGTGTCAAAACGCTCTTTCCAAGTTCGAATTTCCTCCTCCCAAATATTCGGGGAAAATGCTAATCCCTGGGAGTTAGTTATTGGAGTATTTGTTTCTCGGGCGAAACAAATTCTCGGAGAACGAACTCATCGGGATTAATCAGAATTGGGCAGTATATATTTTACTGTATGCATTTTAATTTTTAACTCATGTAGGTCTGGTATGCCGCAGTCACACAGGTCTTCTTCTCATTAGCCATTTGTTTTGGCACTTTAATCACTTATGCCTCGTACAACAATTTTTCACGCAATGTTTACAAGTGAGTTTGCACAAAAGATATGCAATTAAATGTTTTATTCACCTACCTTCAATACTTTGCTTCAACTCCAACCATTTTCCACTCACTCCACCACGCAGAGATATTGTCATAATCACCACCATGGATTCCTGTTCATCCATCATTGCTGGCTGTATTACATTCGGCATACTTGGTAATTTGGCCTTCAAAACTGGCGCACCGGACGTTGCTAGCGTTGTAAAAGGTGGTTCTGGCTTGGCATTCATCTCGTATCCCGATGCCATTGCCAAATTCGAATTCATTCCACAAGTACGTATCGATGTGCACATGCGCCCAAATGGCGCCTTAAAACAAAACTACCTAAAAGGCATTCGCGGTTCTTTTCTTTTTGATGTTATTCGTATTAGGCATCGGCAGCACGGTCGGCATGGGCTCCTGTATAGTGCGCGTAATACGTGATCGTTGGGTGCGTGCGCCAAATTGGGCACTGGCATTGAGCTTAGCTGTGTTGGGTTTTGCTGTGAGCATTGTTTACATGACACCTGGTGGACAATTCGTCTTGAATCTGGTGGATTTCTATGGTGTCTCGTTTACGGCACTAATTTTAGCAATTGGCGAGCTGCTGGCTGTCGGTTGGGTGTATGGTAAGCGTTGGCAGTGGTTTGAGGAGAATTCAACATTGTTAAGAGACTCTGTTAATTTACAGGAGTGAAGCGGTTCTGTGCCGATATCGAATTTATGGTTGGTTTGAAGACTGGTATTTATTGGCGCATATGCTGGGGCGTTATTACACCCGGCCTCATGTTGGCTGTGCTGATTTACACACTAATAGATTTGAAGCCGTTGACTTATAAAAATGTCGTTTATCCGGGTATAGCACATGGTAAGGACAAGTGTAAAGGCTGCCAAAAATATTTGATATGTAGTTATATAAAATCTTTATTTTGAGCAGCTTTTGGTTGGTGCTTGTCTGCTATTGGACTATTACAAATACCAGGTTGGGCTTTGTATAGCATTTGCAAGCAAACGAAACGCACTGGTTTGCTGAAGGTAAACAGGGCACTTATCCTCACTTAGTAGTAAAATTATTATTTTTTTCTTTTTATTGCTTTATGCTTCGTCGCTTTAAAAGGTGATTTCTGCTGCCTCGCCCACAAAAAATTGGGGTCCTTTGGAGACGAAGAAGTGCGAAGAGTACGTAAATCATCGTCGGAAATTAGAACTGAAAACAAAGCAAAGAACAATTTTACAAAAAGCTTATGATAATATATTTGGCTAAGTTACCTTTTTATTTTTTATTATTTATGAAGTCTTGCAGTGTTTACTTAGCATTTTACTATCTTTTATGTAATGAAATATAAAAAATGTTGAATGAACAAAGTAATTATTTTAGAAATAAATACGGAATTCCAACGCCAAAAACAGCGAAAATATACATAAATATTTAAATTAGAAATAAAGAAATATGCATGGAAATTATTCAGAATCTCGCAGTCTGTGGTGATTGTTTATTTTATTTCGCCCATGTATGCAGTCTCTTAGTCTCCGTTTTCTCTTTTAGTTGCTATGCTGCGCATTCGCTTTGGTCTGTTCTGCTATTGCTGCTTCCGCTGTGTAAATGCGTTTCGTAACCAAATAGTCGCGCATGATTTTGAAAAACGTAAATTGGTTTGTGAGCGTTACAAAGCTCAGCGACAACACAAAATGCCATTCGACGGCATAATATAAAACTATTATACCTGCGAGAACATTGGCTGCTTGGAGACCCGTGAGTACCATGTATATAATGGATGGATTGCGGAAGAGTTTCTATAGCAAAAGGCAAGGAAAGTAAAAACGTATTCTTGAATTTAAAAACATCATTTACTCACATAAAATCTAGAATGACTAGAATTTCCTGGCAATGCAACAGTTACTGGACTTAGACAGCTGAATAACTCTCCATTATGCTTCACCAAACTGCCCTGGACCCATACGCTGTTAAGTTTCCATGAAGCAGCTGTGGCAGTAGACGCACCACCGCCACCACTACAACTACCAATGCCACGTACATCCATTCGCGACCAGTAACCTAAGTGTAACGATGCGCGGTGTAATATATCGCTATACTTTGACGGAAAACCAAATGCTGCTGCCATGGTAAGACAACTTATCCAAAAGTAAAATGCATTCTGATATGCCCAGATAACGTTGTAGTAGATGGAAACAGTAAAGAAACAGGGAACAAGGCCTACGTAGTAAGCATTCAACATCGAGGTGAAGAAAATTTGCTTGAATCGTATGTTGAAATCATTCCGTAGTACATCGATTTCATCGCGTATGGTATCAGGACTGCTGGAGCAGCAATGCATTGGCATCCCATTGAAGTAGGCACCTTCAACTTCGCACGAGCTGCGTAAAAATGATTCGATTTGAAAGCCAAATACGAGCACGTAAATGACGAGACTATGGGGTGATAATAGAAAGTTTACTATAAAAGACTGTCGTTTAGTTAGAACTACGTACTTACGGGTAGATGAGCAAAAATACGGGTATAAAGGAGTGTTTTATGTAAATTTTAAAAACACAAAAGCCAAGTAGTATTGCAAGCCAGCTAATAAAACTGTATTTAATAAAAACTCTATACAGGCGGCGGTATTTGCTGTTAAAGCTGTGTAGCAAATCCTGGCCGCGTATAAGAAAACAATAAATGAAACGCCGCGACATCAGCAATACGATGAACGCTACCAAGTATGGTTCAATGAGATGAACATTCTGTAAAAAAAAAAAACTGGTAAACTCTGAGCATAATTTAATATGTATTCTTTTCTTATGTTGACTTGGTTTGCGCACTTACAACTGTATGCTTTATATAAGATTCCGGCATCCACCATAGCGTGCGGTAAATGTTAATAAATTGCATTGCGGAGGCAAAGGTTGTGAAAAGAAACATCACCAGCTCATTGATAAGTTCTGAACTGCCGGAAAACTCAGGAAATGGTATGTGCTTTGGCATTGGGGTGGCATCAATATTGCTGTAACCACCGCAACTGCTGTTCCGTCTACTTGTGCCGCAACCACTACCGGTCCTTGCTTCATGTGGATTTTCCGTGCCCATTTTTCAATACAAATTTCTCGGTTCAAAACTTTATAAATATTGTTTCATATTTTTCACAATTAAACATTACTTATTTCTTACAATTAATCGGAAGCCAAATAATTATTTTTCTCCCGCTCGTAATTTGCCGAACTTATTTAGTAAATAAAGAAAGGCGAATTAGGTCTTCGGCGAATTTAAACATATGGCATAAGTCAAGGCGAATTTAACGTAAAACCATATGCGCCATCTGCCGGTCGAGTCTGAAGTACAAACGGATGTACATTCATAGCGACAAAAAAGCGAATTTCACAAAGTTACTTCCGCTTCCCCACAGCAATGAAATATCTCAAACTTATGAGACACGCATACAAAGTCAAACTTTATTTCTTTTTCCCACTAAATTGCCATGAGGTCCCTTGACTGTGATCCTGTATATCAATTCCATGTTGTCGCAAGCAATTACGCAGATCGTCACATATATGAAATAGTTCTTTGTTCTTAGCAGCTACCGCAAGTTCGCGAATTGATCGCCTGGACTGCAGAAAATCCTCCACTAAACCATCTAAATCGAATTCTGACGCCGTACTTATCGCCTGCGGGTTTGAGTCCTTCACAAAATCAAAGCCGAGAATGCCTAAATGTTGTTGCACAGCATTATCCACTGCGGCTATTGCGTCCATGCAGCTGCCTACAGTCAATCTATACTCAACTTCTCCACCGTCTGCTGCGTTAATGTGCCGATTCACCGTACTTGCTTGATCTAGCAGTACAGTAATGCTGCTCGCCGTATCAAAATCATCTTTATAGCAGGCATCTATTTTCTGAAGCGCACGCTGCAAACCGCCCACCAACTCACTTGCCTCCACTAGAGCGCTCTGCTTTTTCCCACTCAGGTATGCAAGGCAGTCCGCTCTGAAGGTTCTAAAACGTTTCAATGTGTTTCTTGATGTCTGCATTAATTCCTCGCTGTACTGCATTTCATTTCGATAATTCGAGAGCGCGCATGCCATGCGGAACTCATCAGCCGTATAGTGTTGCAACATTTTGCCAACTGAGATAGTGTTTTTTAATGATTTTGACATCTTTTCCTTTTGTCCCTTAACATGCAATTGCCCAGTGTGCAACCAATAATTTACCCATTGCTGAGTGTTATGGTATGCACAACTTTGTGCCTCCTCGTTTTCATGATGTGGAAAGCGCAAATCCAGGCCCCCAGCATGAAAGTCTATATGTTTTCCAAAAATCATGCTAGCCAACGTGCTGCATTCGATATGCCACCCAGGGCGTCCTGCGCCCCAGGGCGTAGTCCACGACGGTTCTTTCTCGTTTTTTTGCGCTTTCCACAGCGAAAAATCTGCCGCGCTCATTTTACCATCCTTAACCGTTGTCTGCCCGGCTGTGTCCAATAAATTTACTTTTTGTAACTTGCCATAGTTTGCGCACTTGTTTACATCAAAATAAATGCTACCATCGCTACCTTCATAAGCCTGTCCTTGTTCTACAATACGTCGAATAAATTCGACAATGTACGGCATCTGCTCAGTAACGCGTAGTTTTATATTTGGTTCATGTACATTGAGTAGCCGTAAATCCGACCAGAACTCACTTTCGTAGAAGCGCGACAATTCGCGCCAACTCTTCCTACTTTCAACACTTTTCTGTATTATTTTATCATCAATATCGGTAACGTTCATAGCAGTAACAAGGTTCATATTGAAATGCTCGCGCAATATGCGTTGTATGATGTCCAATTTAACGTAACAGCTTGCATGTCCCAAATGCATGGAATCGTAAACGGTGGGACCACATGTATACCAAGTAGCGTATGTATTATTGGACAGTATCAACGGTACTTTATGGCGAGCTGTACAATTATATATGCGTATACCAACATCTTTGCCAATTGTAGGCTGTTGCCACTGATGTTGGCTGGCGAAGCGTTGAGTGGCTAGGGGCCAATATTTGTTGGGCTTGAGAAAACTATAAACGATAAAATTAGATAAAGTCTGGAACGAAAGTGTACACTCACCAACTGCGAGACATCCTGTTGGTATTTTATTTATTCCATTTGTTCAAGGAGCCGGTTTGTTTTCCTTGTTTGCTTCAATTGCTGCTCGCGCTATCGCAATCAGCTGATCCCTCCCACAAACCCAAAGGTTGCCAGCAGACGGAAATGTGTATTAGTGATTTCTCCCAAAATACCCAAATTATTTACAGTAGAGCCAATTTTATGGGCATTTGTATTGTCAATTAGTTTTCAGTTAAATAAATGTTCCAAAGAGTTAAACTAGAATTAAAAATTTTTTAAATTGTAATATATTTAAATTAAATTACTTTTAAATAAACGCTTGACACATGAAAACTAACCTAAAAAATCCACCATCTCTATGGCATCTTCAAATGTAGGCATCAGCTGTTTTATTACGAATGCAGTGTTATTGCGGAATTGGTGTAATTTTGGCATCTTTAATTCGCTTTGAGCAAAGTTTGTCTTTAATTAATCATCCTAAATAGTATTCCTGGTAGTATTTTATTTAAAACTACCAATAAAATGATGCGTTACGAGGGAGATGAGAAGTTGGCTGATACCTCAGCATGTGCGGGCGTCAGAGCGGATCTCAAGATGTGCTTGCTGGAAAGCGACTGCTGTCGTATTGTGGGTTCGAATGAAACGCAACCATTACATTTGAAGAAAATTTAGGAGAGTTTTTGTATGTTTCCAGGATAAAAAGACGCCGCGTGAGTGCCTTAAGGGCAACAATGTTCCAGAGGAGTGCCAGATTCTGAGAAACACATTCTTTGAGTGTAAGCGCTCGTTGGTAAGTCGAGGACAACTATGTATATTCTCTATTATATACTGACCGAATTTCAACTCTTTTCCAGCTTGACAATCGACAAAGGTTTCGCGGACGCAAAGGTTATTAGTTGGTATATTTAAATTACATAAATAAGGTTACTCAAGTCAGCGCTATTGTAATGTTATTGCGTTCATAATTCAAATAAAATATGTTGTTTACATACTAACTTAAAATTTAAATACATGAATTACATTAAATGCTAAAAAGAAGTCTTACACGAAATTTAGTTCCGTCTGCGTCGTACACGCGATATACGCCAAGCATTGGGCTCTTCATATTTATTGTACAGTGGTTCGAGTCGTTGATTCTTCTTGAATTTACTCAATTTCGTTGGATCCGAGAAGCGGAAGAATGATGGTGCGAATTCAACCAACCATTTCGGATCTATGGTGGTCACTTCACGCATATACTCCTTGGTAGTCTGTACAAGTTCATGATAAACCACCCACTCGGGTTGACGATTGAAAAGCGCACTGGATGGATGTATATA